TGCTTAGAAGGCTATAGGGTCCAGCAAATAAAGAACAAGTAAAGCCACAATATGGAATGCTTCTATTTACCATTTTTAAATTTAGTGTATAACACTGCTTCTGTGATCTTAAAATTGCTGGTTCACATGTCAGCCTAGCTATGAACTTTCAGGGTTTCCACAGAAAGCCTATCTAATAGCACTGTGGTAAAGTTTTCGAACCTAGCAGTTCGAAAGCGAGAAATTGCAAGTAGATAAATAGGTACCACTTCGGTGGGAAGGTAACAGCGTTCCGTGAGCCTTGGTGTTTAGTCATGCCGGCCACATGACCACGGAAACGTCTTCGGACAGCGCTGGCTCTTCGGCTTTGAAACGGAGATGAGCACCGCAGCCCTAGAGTCGGATTCGACTGGCTTTCGAGCAAGGGAACCTTTACCTTTACCTTTAAAGGTTACTTTGACAATGTACATGAAGCACTCTGAACACTGAAATGCCATTATTAAAGCAATAAGAAATTACAGGAGACACATGGCAAAAAGGTCCTCTGTTTGAACATCTGAAGCCCCAGCAGGTAACAAGCACAAATGGACTCAAGTTGTCCTCAAGCCAAAGCAGAATACACTGCTATTTATTTATTAAGCAACAGAGGGCGATCTAAGACTGCTTCATTGGTTCTTCCTTGTAAACTGTTCTTTGGGTGCTACTGTTTCTATGAATATCACATATGTGGGATTGCCCTTGTATAGTTTCTTCCCCTTTTCTTGCCCAAAGGCACAAGACAAGATGAGAGGACAGTGGCTTATCATGCAATTTCTTCTCACTCCCAAAGAGACTCAAGACAGTGCAAGTCAATTATCTTCCTAGAGAGGAAGTTAGGCAGATGGTACAAAGTTTTAATTTAAAGAAAAATATTAGAGTAAGTAGCTCCTACAAATGGAAAGTGAGAAAGATAGTTTACAAGGAAGAGTCTGTCCATATAACGACTACCCTTTCTACCACTTAACCAAAGATCTGTACTGTAGACCTCTAGAACAAGTCAAAGCAAAAACACCATGTTGCATTTGTCTATCAGGCATTAGCATCACAAGAAAAAAAGGGGATGCCCCAGATTTTGCAGAGTGTGGGAAAAGACAAGGGAGACAATAGTACACATACGGTCTCCACTGTCTGCCAAGCAGCATTTGGGAAGAGACTTTCTTGCCATCTGTAAAATCCACAGATTGTGGTCCGAACTGAAAATAAGGACCATTCTTACTTTCTACATGACCAGAATGATCAATGTCCAGATGGAAGAGCATAACACAGAACGGAAAGGGAAGGTATACCTTTCAGAATCCAACAAACTCACCTTACCATGATCTCCAAGCAGAAGGCTGAATCCTATGGAAGATTTATGCAAGTGCAACAGTCCTTGTCCAAGTGGAAGCACTGAAATTATTCTTTGCCTGCTTGTACTGAGTGAAAGCAACTGTATCCCTACTATCTTTTCCATGTATGCAAGATATAGCCCAAAGTATTTTTAATATAATTTCAAAAACAAAAGAAAACTACGGAAATGATCTGCTGTACATTCCTTTGCTACATATGTACACTGTTGTATCATTAAAATTTACATTAAAGCACAATGCGTTGCTTGTGCTGCATTATGTACATTTTATTTTCTGCCTTCATATCACAAGTCATTGCCCATGGGATGCCACATCCCCTTTCTTGTTCAAATAAATTTACAAAACTCTGTTGTCCACAGCTACTAATACAATGCCTTTTTCCAACTGGTTCAAAGGCTCTCTCACAACCCAATGTACTAATCTTAGTTCCCGTTAGCGAACTAAGGCCCCGGTCACATGGGCCGGATATTGCGGGGGGGAGGCGTGGCTGTTTGCCCCACAGCGAAATAACGCACGATTGTGCGATCAGGCTTCCCCTCGCGGTCCCGTCGAGGTCCCGTGGTTAGGGGGAGGTGCCGATCACACGACGCGCCAAAGAAGTGGCACGGCAAACGGGGTTGTTGGTTTTTTTTAACCTGAATTATGCGCATGCCCCGTTGGGTGCTTGTGCGCATCCCTGGAGACTTCGAAAAAAATAAACCTTTTCGCAATGGGGTATGGGCGGGCGCCGGATGCCACTAGAAACATGATCAGACGCCCGCCCTTGCTTCCGGAAACTAGTACCTCTGAGATACTAGTTTTTAACCGCGCATCTTTGGAGGGAAGCCTCGGGTTCGCCACGGGAGCTCTACGCTTCCCAGATGTGGCGGTGAGATCGCACCCGGAAAATCCACCTATCTTCCGTCGCAGTAGCGTGGCTACTGCTCTGTGTGACCGCAGCCTCAGATCTCAAAGTTCCCAAGTCACCAAACTCCCTTGGCATGAGCACACATGCTTGTCAGATATGCTAGAGCCTCTTGTGAATGTCATTTCACTTCAATATACCTCAGATTTTACCATTACTAGAGAAGAAATACACCACTTATGACATCCACAGGAATGCTCTTGGCATGTGTGTACTGGGAGGAGCATAAGATGATAACTGAACAGGCATATATAGCAGTTTTGAATGAGGAATCACATAGGCAGTGCTGATCATGAGTACCAATTTGTTCTGTGTCACACACAGCAGTGGCTTATGGACAGGGTAGGTGGGGTAGGGCTGAGTCATTGTCTTGTAGGAGTTTCCCAGGTTGTGACATGCTAATGGAGGAGCTTTCCTGAGGAGGTTCTTTTGCATATGGATGGGCTGTTGAAATTCTAATCTTATCTGCAGTGCTGTTGTAAGATGTAGAGCATTTTGTGTTTTTCAGGACAGGAAACCATGCCCTATTTATTTTTAAACTGTCTTCTTTCCTGCTAAAATTGTGCTTATGTTTATGAATTTCAATGACTTCCTTGTGTAATCTGACATAGTAATTAGATGTGTTGTCCAGCATTTCAGTGTGTTGGAATAACATACTGTGTCCTGTTTGAGTTAAGCTATGTTCAGCCACTGCTGATTTTTCAGGCTGGGCAAGTCTGCAGTGTCTTTCATGTTGTTTTATTCTTGTCTGGATGCTATGCTGTGTGGTCCCAATGTAAACCTGTTCACAACTGCAGGGTATGCTGTATACTCCTGCAGAAGTGAGGGGATCTCTTCTGTCTTTTGCCGATCATAGCATCTGTTGTATTTTTCTGGTGGATCTGAATACTGTTTGTAAGGTTTTTTTTTATAAACTTTCCCATCTGATCAGTGATTCCTTTGATATATGGCAAAAACACTTTTCCTATGGGAAACTGTTTTTCCTCAGTTGTTTGTTTCCTCAGTTGTTTATATCTACTCACCTTCCTGAGTAGATATAAATTACCTGCCTACCATTTTTCCTCTCACATTGACACAGAGAGTACTCCATCTTTCTGTGTTATACCTCTGAGGATGCCAGTCACAGCTGCGGGTGACACATCAGGTACTTCAATGCCAAGACCGGAAAATCTACAACAACTAATGAATCCAGGATTCACTGCTTCCTTAAAAGAAGATGGTGGTGGTCATGAATTGCTTTATGAAGGAGGTCTCTAATGATCGAACAAAACAATGGGAGCAAATACCCCTTCCCAGGCAAGGTGTTTGAGTGTGCAGGGATTAGGTAACTTGCTTGGGTGAGCTGGATTCTCTACTCACTTCTGACCTGGCTTTGGAACTGAAAACGCCTGGGTTGCCCTTTGTGTTCACCAGGACAGAAATGGCAGAAGTAAGATAATGTTATTTTCCTTGTCATGTCAGCAGCCTTTGATGCCACCAATCATGGTTTCCTTCTGGATGGGTTGGCCATGATGGGTTACATGGATTACTCTGATAATTATTTCTCCCTGGCAGAGTGGTACCAGAGGGTGGTACAGGAACACAGTTGTTCAACTCTGGGGCAACTGTACTATGGGGGTTTCACATGGTTTCATCCTGTCTCCCATGCTTTTTAACATCAACCTGAAGCTCCTGAAATAGGCTGGTCACAGATTTTGGGTTAAACATCTTCAATATGCTGATAAGACTACAACTCTATCTCTTCTTTCCAACTAAGTTGAAGCTCATTCCATAGTAAAACTGAACTGCTATTGGTTGGCAATGCAGCCTATGAAGAAACGTGGGGCCAGCTTGTTCTGGAAGTGGTTGTACCCCCAGGTTTGAAATCAGTGTGTGTTATTCAACCTATGTCTACAGGCAGAGGTGTGGGTCTCTGGTAAGTAGCTCTTTTAGCTAACATTGTTTGGCACACCATGACCCTCTCTGAAAGAAATGACTTGGCCACAGTTACTCCTGTTCTGATCACTTTGAATTTAAATTACTGCAATACACTCTAGATGGGGCTGACTTTGAAAACTGTTCAGACGTTTTAACTGATACAAACTGCTGCAGGGAAGTTATTTGCTGATGTGAATTAAAAGGAACATATGGGGGGGGGGGTGTTGTTGTTGTGGTACTTTAATAGTGGTATATTCCCTCCCCATATTGGCCTGCCTGGCATCAAGCCTTTGAGTTCATGTGCCAGGTAAAAACATTTTTTCTTTCGTTTCTTTTTTGTTTTGGTAGATCCTACTTTGGGTTTTCTTTTGTTTATTTACTTTAGGTTTTACTCTTGAATGACTGTAGGTCTTAACTGATCATACAGTGTTATCTGTTTTACTGACTTCGTTTATTATTATAAAAATTCACTGGTGGGAACCACCTCAGAGCAATATGCTTATAAATGAAGAATAACTATTTTAATATAATACATGACTATTCTAGTAGAAGAATTTGGATACTGTCTTCTTCTAAATTCAAGTCCAGTAGTCAGAAGGTGAGAGGGGTGTTGTCCAGAATGCTTGTAAAGGATGCAAAGGCACTGTTCCTACTGTAATCAGCTTGATTAGAGAGCAGAGCAGACCAACATGACTGCCCTTGGAAACTGTCTTCTTCAACTATACCTTTTTAAGCCAAATCAGAGCCCCATCCTTGTATCATGGGATAAGGGAAAACTGAAGCATTCAAACAAAGACCAAGACAAAACTTACGGTGCTCTATCATTGTTCAGACCATTCTGTCTCTGAGTATTAATTGGTGGCAGAACAGGCTTGCTGTTAATCTCAAGACCCCTTCGCAGAGTCTCCCTGATTTGTTCTGTATCTGAAATGACATCAATACAAAACAGAGTTGTGCTCATTTCAAACAACAACATCCTCATAGTGTGCGCTCCTTCCCCTCTCCATTTTCTGTTTAATACTAATCATAGTATACCACAATAGCCAAATCAAACAACTACAAATATCACTTGTTCCCCAAACCAGAAGTCTACTTCAAACCATAGTTTCTGATTTGGATGGCAAGCAGCACTAATCACAGTTTACCATACAAGCCTCTAAGTTGTGTTTTAGTGCTTGCCATCTTAGTGCTTGCCATTGAGTAAGCTCTGAACAGGAAATGTGGGGAGAAACATCGTGGGGGGTGAGGCACGAGTCCTTTGCTAGTTCATGATCCTACATACAATATTAAAAAAGGATCTCCTTAGAGGAATTTAACCTTCACAAAATTGCTACAGAAACTTGATGGAGCATAAGAATTATTTAAGCAGGTTTCATCCTTTTGTACAAATTAAATGCTTTCTATATCCTCTGGACAGAATGAAACAACTTTATGTAGACAGTTTATGTGGTTTTTCATCCAGAATACTGTTATAGCCAGATAGCACAGAAATGTTATCAGAAAGCACTACATCATGAACATGCAAATCTTTAAGTATTCCTTCCAACAAAATATATTTTTTGCATGCAGAGCAGGGGTCCTCAATTTATGGGAGCAACCACAAAACAGCTACCATGGGGGACAATTGCAAATTGGCTGCCATGGAATGCTGGGGCCAATGATAAAATGTTGGAAGGTTGCAAGCCAAGCATCCTCCTATGATGGAGGCAGCTGTTTCCAAATGGAGGCTCCCTGCAGACACAAAGGTGATGTCCTGCTGGACTGTTCTGAACCACTCAGTATCCAATGAGGTAGAAGAAAACAAGGACTAAATCTTTGCTTTGGGAAAGAGATGCTTTGTCACAAAAGCACATGGGAGCCAATAATCCTACTAGTGGGTGCTACAGTACACCTGGGCACCACACTATGGATTAGTGTGCTACAATATTTAGCTAGCATTTTAAATATTTGAAGAGTGTAATATTTCTTTACTGATTAGAGTGTACGTTTTGATTGGGTGAGTTTACTGTCCAAGCAACCTAAGTGGTTACTTAGGGCACCAAACTGGCAGGAGGTAACAGAGATGGTTTGTGCCTGTAATTTTCCAGACCAGGTACAAGGTAAGATGAGGTGTCCATGCCCTCTTCCCCACTTATTACAATAGCATCCTGGCTCCAAGGAGCTGAAGTGGCATCAGTGCAGAAGAGCACACATTCCCTTCCCACTGCTGCTACCATGCTCCAATGGGCTACAACCCTTCTCTAGTCTGCTCTGGAGTCGGCAGCATGCATGGAAGGAGGCATATCCTCTCCTTACACACTTGCACAGCTGCCAGCCATTTCCAGAACAGGCCAACTTGGGGAGAGGGAAGACATCCCATGTTGGACTCTCACCTTTGGGTTTAACTTGATTAAAGAATACTCTCAATTTTCACATGAAGTAAGTCTGCCCATGATAGAATCATATTAGATCAGAAAACCATCCTCAGATTTCTGAACTCCTGCAGAAGGTACACAGCTAGAAGCAATTCTTTAGTCTCCCCATTTCTTTGTAATCATTACTGGACAAAGAAAAAAATCTAGCCAAGCCTCCTAACCTACCTTTTAAAATGTATGATAGTAAAAAAACAAAGGCTGATTCTTTACATATCACTTTACAAATATTTTGGGACAACCATAAGAAGCACATCTTCTAATCAATCATCAGACTTTACATAAGAATCAACACAAAATGAATCAATACTAGATAAAATGGAAAGGTGACAATGACAATAAAGTATTTCAAATGGTAATGAATAAATGTACCTATTTAAAATGACTGAAGTGTTTCAAACTACCAGAACACTCAAGTGGAATAAGTGATAACTTACCAGTCTCATCTATATATAGCTTTTAATATGGATGGCATTTTCTCCACTTTAAAACACTGCTCGGATTCTACCTATTATCGTGTGCCCCATGCTTAATATCTTGACAGACCTAAATACTCCAGTTAAAAAGAGATCCTAATTTCATTTTTTGTAAATACCTGCTTACAACCGCAGAGTGTTTAGCGCTATGATATGACCTCTACATAGTCATTTTATGGGAGAAATACAGAGTACAAAGTACTCAAAATAATTAAATAGACATACTATGTACAAGATGCTTGTGGGGAAAGGCCTGTCCTACTTTTAGCATTATCTGGAATTATTCAGCCTTTATGGTAAAAAAGGCTATATCTAGCCTGAGGATTGTTTTATGAATATAGTATTACGCTGTTAGATGTTGTTTTATGCTGTTTTTATGCCTATATTTGTTTTTGTGGTTTGTTTGATTACTGATGCTTCCATTGTTGTTTTTGTGATTTTATTGTACTTTTTTTACTTTGTGAGCTGCCTCAAGCAGGTCTTTGCAGAGGTACATACATTTTCTAAATAAAGAAAGTAAATAAATTAAAAACATTTGATGCTGTTGGTTGCCAAGTACTCAAAATTTATAAAACACGACGACTGACACCTGGCCTTGATGGGAAAGCTCTACAGTTGAATAACTTTAGCTCTGAATGTCGGGGGGGGGGGGGCTTGTATGGCATGGCCAGGTCCCTCTTACCTTTCCCAGACAGTCGTCGGGGATGTGTGCCAATACAGATACTTCTACTATCTTCATCATCCTCTGGAGGTCGGCTAAGGTCATCCCAGGCACATTTAGCACTGACACCACTCAAGTTTGAACCGTCTGTCTCAATCCCTTTATCAACTCTGTCCTGCTTAAAAATATCCAAGAAACAGCCAAGCCTTTGAATGCCATGGTCTCCATTTTTGCCAATGCAGGAATAACTGAGTCCTGCAGCATGAAGTATCAAGTCTTATAGTTCATTTTCTATCTTTTATTAGCAATCAGCACTTGAGTTGTGAAGAGCAGTAAAATGTTCCTACATTGCACTAAGACATGAAATATGAAAAACAGCCATTGCTGTGCTCTACATAAGCTTCACTGCTTCAATTCAAACATTACAAATAGCTGGATCAAGATTTATTTAATCCCCTAGTAATTCATTCTTTTAACTTGTTTTACTAATTATCAAACACCAGAGTTCTCCCTTTTTTGCAGAGTGCTCAGCCCTGGTTGTATGGTAAAAAGAATGAACTGCATATCCATGGTATGTTTAGCCTGAATAAGTTTAAGCCATATGTAATATTCGTACACCACTCACAAATACAGGTGTACACTTCTTCTTCTGCATATAGGAAAAGTTACTGGTTTTCTCAGCTTCAACAATCACCAGCAGAGGACACTGTTAAACTAAGCCTCAGCTTTTTGTGAAAGGAGGAACCATCTGCAGCAGTTTAATATTTACAAGGAGAATGAAAGTACATTTCTCCTATCCAGGTTTTCTTTTCATGTGCAAATGCACACACATGCAAACCAGCCTGTTTGGTCAGTGCAACCAAACAATAAGTTTGCTTAAATTTTTCTGACGGAAAAAGTGGGAATTTTTTTTTGAGGGGGGAGACCCCCTATGAAATAGTTCCTCTTTTTGAGTGAAAAAAATATTGTCTTAAAAAATGGTATTTCACTCATTCTCAATGTCCAGCATGAAAAGGTCCGAGGACTTATCTCAACTATTCTGATGGAAAAATTGGGAAATTTGGGGGAGTACTGGGGGGAAAAAACCAGGTTGCTTACCTGTAACTGGTGATCTTCGAGTGGTCATCTGTGCTGTCACACCCATGGGATTATGCGCCTGCGCTGATCCGAATCGGTGGTATACTAAGTTCACAACAGGATTTTTGCACCTCCCTCCCAGGCATGCGCAGGAACTCCACTGCACATCCCCAAAGAGGCAGGACGCGGACATCCCGCCAGTTCCTTCTGACAGCTGTCACATCAATAACCGGAGAAAGTACTGAAGCTACAGCAGTGGGGAAGGAAGGGCGGGTGGTGTGACTGCACAGATGACCACTTGAAGATCACCAGTTACAGGTAAGCAACCTGTTTATCTTCTTCGTGGTCTCTGTGAATCACACCCATGGAAGACTGAAAAGCAGTGGCTCACCTGGAGGTGGGTGCTGTCGTACACTCAGTGCTCTGCCGACGAAAAGACTAGACAACCAAGGTCCACTCTGTGGTGTTCACGAATATCAACAGCGTAGTGCTTGATAAAAGTGTTTGGAGTAGACCATGTTGCAGCCCCACAGATTGTCAACAGGGAAGCACCCTTCAAGAAGGCTGTAGACGAACTTCCGGTCTAAGCGTTTCGCTTCTCGGACGCGTCCCATCTCGCTCTGATGGAGACGCACGGAGACCCGGCTGACGGGAGGGGTCCAAGTTTGTCCCGGACCTCCCCAGGGTCTTTGTAGGAGACCCCCAGCCTGGGGAGCTGAGGAAAGCCTCTTCCAAGGTGACAGCCAAGGAATTGACCTTCTTCCCTGAAAGGTACCGTTGCCGCCCAGAGACGACTGCCAGAGCAAGCGACCACGATCAAACTTCTAAAAATGCTTCCAAAAGATCTCCAAGGCTCCAAATTGTGAGTTAACCAAAGCTCAGGTGAAAAAAGCAAACTGAACCTTGGTAGTAATTGGAAGCGCCTAAGTTTGAAGCGTTGGGGAAAGGAATTCAAACAACCCCCCTTTTTCTTTGAGCAAACTTTAAAAATGGTTTTACATCGGAAATAAAAGATTTTGAGTTAAAATAAGCACATAAGCAGTTAAACGATTGCAAAAACTGCTAAAGTATACAAAGTATACAAAGTGGGACTAAATCGTATAACTTTTGCCTTGTTTTGGAAAACTTCTTGTTGATATTATGGCTGGGAGAGAACAGAGAGTGCCGAATAAAAACTGGTGACCGGAAATAACATACCAACGACTCCTTCCCAGAACCAGGAAGTAACTACAGACTTCTCCATACTGCTAGCAAATGCACTGCACCCCCTAATGGAGCAGATGACTAATCTCAACACTAAGCTTGATAATGTCCAAAAACAGCTGAATCAAATGGATAAAAGAACCTCAGCAACTGAAAAACGTTGAAAAAGATGGAAAAACAGACTGAGAGTATTAACAAAAGAGTGGATGAAGCAGAGAAGGAAAGATCCGCTGATAAAATGCAAATAACACGGCTTCAGCTGGATAGATGTTCTACGTTTTCATGGGATCCCCGAAGAGAAAAATGAGGACTTAAAAGAACTCTTGGTGGCTGCCTTGGCCCCATTAATGGATTACAAACAAGAAGATTTAATAAAAGAGATGGATGTGGCCTATAGGACTTATCCGGATTTTATAAAGAAAAATAAATTACCTGGGGAATTCTATCTGAAATTCACGAAACGATCTACCAGAGAACTGGTGCTAAAGTCAACAATGGGAAAATCCTTAAAAATCAAGAATGAAGAAGTAAAATTTTTGAAAGACATCCGTTTCGAAGTTAGAAAACAGAGGAAATGCTACAGGATGCTTACTCTCACTCTGCAAAAAAAGGGAATACCATATAGATGGTTATTCCTGGAAGTGCTGAGCTTCAATTTCCAGGGGGGGGAAAACATAAAATTGACTCTGTTTCAAAAACGGAAAAATTTATGGACCAAGTATTTAACACAAAAAATAAGCAGAAGGAAAAGAACTTAAAACCGGATGGGGAGGAAGAAGAAGAAGAAGAGGAATCCTATTCACAGGACTCAACAAGCCAAACCTCCACGTCATCAGAATCATCTGAATTGGAGAAAGGAGCAGCCGCTCCAAAACTCCAGAAAATGAAGAAACGCAGGAAGAAAAGACTCTAGAACTAAGGCAATAGTATTAAAGGCAGAAATTGTGTTAAGCTACTAAATATGTATTAATAATTGAATCAAATCTTAACATAACGTGTTATATTAGGTTAAAAACAATATTTCTATAACTTCTTAGATCGTAACTTCTTTACCCATTCCCCAAATCTAGTAGATGGAATAGATTAGAACTGTAGTACTCCTTCCCCTATTCAGTAGATTTATGTATTAGATTTCCTATACCCATCACCCATAGTATTAGCGTTAGGGTATTAGTATCCCTTCCCCCATCCCATAATTGTAGTGTGTAGAAAAGGCAAAAAATAAAAAGCCGTGAGTAACAGCGACCCTCAATTTTTCTTTCTTTTTTTAAAAAAAGTCTTTAAAGTAAAGAAAAACGAAAAATAAGAAAGAAAAACGGATTTAGAAATCCCTTGTGAGAGAAATAAATACTTCTTCACTGACTAGCAGAAACAAGCTGTTAACAGCGCGGCGATCAGAAGAGAACTGGCGGGATGTCTGTGCCCCGCCTCTTTGAGCATGCACAGTGTAGTTTCTGCGCATGCCTGGGAGGGAGGCGCAAAAATCCCGTTGTGAGCTTTGTATACCACCGATTTGGATCAGCGCAGGCGCATAATCCCATGGGTGTGATGCACAGAGAACATAAAGAAGATCCTTTTGTTCCCTTTGGAATGACTGGAAGACTAAACATTCTAAGTAAAACCTTGTAGGGAACTTTTATATAAGACAATATAAGACTTTTATATAAGACAATAATTCTTATATATGGTGTTGACATATACAATGTTTTCAAGAATTTTTCTTGTTATTTTGGCATGTTTAATGATAATCTATTCTTAGAAAGTTCTGTGTTTTTAATATTATAGGTAACTGTAAAGGTTTCCCTTGCTTGAAAACCAGTCCAATCTGACTCTAGGGGGCAGTGCTCATTTCCATTTCCAAGCCAAAGAGCCAATGCTGTCTGAAGACGTTTCCATGGTCATGTGGCCAGCATGACTAAACGCCAAGGCGCACGGAACGCTGTTACCTTCCTACCAAAGCAGTACCTAATTATCTATTTGCAATCAGTGTTCCCTCTATGCTAAATCAGTGTGAGCTAGCTCAGTTTTTTAGCTTCTGTCTCACACATTTTTTCTTAGCTCAGGAAGGATGGCTCCAGAGCAAACTAATTTATGCAACAGCCAAACTGATTGCTCACAACTTTAATGCCAGTAGCTCACAAAGTAGAATTGTTGCTCACAATACTCCACATCTTAGAGGGAACATTGCTTGCAATTTCTTGCTTTCAAACTGCTAGGTTGGCAGGAGCTGGGGCCAGAGACGGGAGCTCACTCCGTCACGTGGCACTAGGGTCGCGAACTGCCAAGCTACTGACCTTCTGGTCTGCAGCTTGGCGTTTTAACCTCTGAGCCACCGCAGATCCCTTCAATATTATAGTTCAACAAATATCCAATCATACATAAGATGCTTGTAGCCCAGCTCCTTCATGCCCAAGAAAATCTCATGCAATGTTTACAGGGGCACTCAGTGCAGCAGATCACACTACCCACCATGGTATTTGCACTCTGTTAAGCAATGGCAGACCAATTCAAGTATTTTTTTTTCCTGGTAAACAGTCTAGAGAAAAGAGCCATTCTGTCTGGTATGACAAAGGCACCAATCTCATGTTAGTAAAAAACTGAGTAGCTGAACACATACTTGCAAGTGTGGATCAATTTCAAATATGGTCTCTCCACGCCGCATGTCCGTTATTAACCATGGGCCTCCTGCTCTATAAACACAAAACAAAACCCAGAGAAAATAAGTGACCATATTACATACTAACATTGCCAAGATAGTTCTAGGTCTCCAATAAAAATCAGAAAGAAAAGAACTGGGGCTAGGGGTGTGGCATGGTGGTTAGAGTGCCAGACTAGGATCTGGGAGAGCCACATTCAGATCCCCATTCTGCCATGGAAGCTTGCTGGGTGAGCTTGGGCCAGTCATATATTCTCAGCCTAGCCTACCTCACAGAAACGTTGTTGTGAGGATAAAACAGAGAAGGGGAGAATGATGTGGACCACTTTGGGTCTCCACTGGGGAGAATGGAGACAATGTGGCCCTAGTCAGGTTAATTGGTTGGTTAGAACCACTATGTAAACCGCCCAGAGACCCTTCGGGGTCAGGGCGGTATATAAGCCGAAGGTATAAATAAATAAATAAATAAAGGTGAAGTAGAAATGAAGTAAGTAACACTTTAGAACCCTTGCTTGGGCAAGGTAAAATATTTGTAGAATTAGTAAAAGACAGCTGAGTGTAAACGGTGCCCCAGTTTTAACTGAACAGAGTATGATTAGCAAAGACTCCTCATATCACAGCACAGAGAATTAGAACAAACCTCAAAAGTCATGTAATATAATTGCCTCTAATGGCAGGATTCTCTGAGTATATTGGCCAGTAAGCACTGTTATCTTACGTTATCTGATTTTTTGCTACAAGTAAGTTGCTTAATTATGTATTTATAATTATTATTTTTAATGAAATCACTTAGAAGCTATTTGGCCAAGATAAAATAAACAGTAAATACACTTACATGTCACAGACTGGGAGAACATGAGTATATTGTAACTTTTTCTCAACAAGTGGTTAAAAATGCAATTTGTATGTGGAAGGTAGAAACTACAATTTTACCAAATACATTTTTTACATCTATATTTCTAAATTTAAAAGGTAATGGAACATAATTAAAAAATTAAAAATCTCTCAGTTCCTTTGATTTTTTTTGTTGTGCTTACAATTTAATGTATTTTTTTCATTTCAGGCTCACTTTATGCATATCTTGCCTAAAGATATATATTACTAGTCAATCAGTGCATGTATACTCAGAAGTAAATTCCATTGTGAATCCAAGTAAGTAGGCTTAGGATTGCAGCTGATGGGTTGAATACTGTGGAAACTTTTCACTAATGGAGGGAAGTAGAATTTTTGCCAATTTCCCCCCTCCTGCTGCAGACTTCCAACTCACCCTCTTTCTGTTCGGGGGGGGGGGGTATTTTGGACTGAAGCAAGGTGGAAGAGGTGAGGAAAATCCACTATGCTGACAAAAATCCCTTTAATCAGCAGAAATGGAAAAGCAGGCAGATGTGAACAAGATGAAATTTAACAAGGATAAATGCAGAACTCTACATCTGGATAACAAAAATGAGAAGCACGCATACTGGATGGCGGATACACTTCTGGGTAGCAGTATGTGTGAACAAGATCTTGGGGTACGGGTAGACTGTAAGCTAAATATGAACAGTCAGTGTGATGTAGCAGCAAAAAAAGGCTACTGTGGTCTTGGGGTATATCAAGAGGCATAACATCAAAATCGCAAGATGTTATAGACCCACTGTACACTGCATTGGTCAGGCTGCACCAGGAGTACTATATGCAGTTCTGGAGGTCTCACTTCAAAAAGGATGTGGACAGAATGGAGTGCGTGCAGAAGAGAGTGATGAGGATCATCAGGGGCTTGAAGACCAACCCCTACGAGAAAATTCTGAGGGACTGAAGAAGACAAGGTTGAGGGGGGACATGATTACTCTCTTTGAGTATTTGAAAGGCTGTCCCTTAAAACTAGGGCAGGGAGCTGTTCCTGTTGGCAGCAGAGGATAGGACTTGCAATCACAGGTTTAAATTACAGGTGGAAAGGTACCAGCTAGATATCAGGTAATTTATTTTTAATAATAAGAGTAGTTTAGCCCTGGAATCAGCTGCCTAGAGGGATGTAGAGCTCCCCCTCACTGCAGTCTTCAGGCAGCAGCTTCAGAAACACTTGTCATGGATGCTTTAGGCTGATCCTGCTTTGAGCAGTGAGTTGGACTAGATGGCCTATGGCCTGTGTAGGACTGAGAGACAAGGCCTTGAGGCCTAGGCCCAGGAGAGACCTATGTGGGAGTGGAAAGCTGACAGCCTACAATCCCCACAATGCTTAGCGACGGTTGTAGCCAATGGGTATCCAGGGACTGTATGAGGTAATTGTCACTTAACCTTTGTGGGGGTGAAACTGTGTTCTTTTCCCTCACAGAGCTGACAGGACAGAGTGAGTACAGGCACAGGCCTGGCATAAGAGGCTGTGGGCCTTGAATAGTAACAAGTTGAGTGAAATAGGTAGTCACGTTAGCTTTGTGTTTATTTTGCCTTTAAACACTGTTATATATTTTAAGCACGTCTTGTTTTCAATGCCCCATTACTGTATTAATAAACTATTTGCTTAATGTTCTCTGCCTGGTCAGCATGCCTATATTTCTCGGCTTAAAAGGGGTATTTTGATTGGGCTTGGGAGGGTACTCTGGGCCTTCCCAAGGGACCCTAAGTCCAGAATGGTGGCAGACGAAGACGGCAACCCACAGGGGGTCATGACAGCCTGTACAGCGCCTTCGAACTCTATGATTTTAAGTGACCCACAGGATCCAAGCCAGTGTCTGACACTGACAAAAAGAAGAAAATTCAAAGAGATACTGTCAGAATAAAACATACAATTTTACACAGATCTACCTAGTTTCATAATTTACCTCATCTGCACAATATGGCATTTTATCACATAATTTTGGACTTTCTGACCAAAATAAGATGCAAAATGACTGCATCTCTCTTCAACAGACTTTATTTAAACAACCCCCCCTTTGCATTGTTTTCTAAGCAGCTGGAAGTACTTACACAGGAACAGTCCGAAGCAGCTCTAATATACCCTGTCCATTCCATTGCTGTGCTGCATGAAGTTCTTCTGTGCAGACCCCAACAATCTAGAGCAAACAGAGGAGGACAAAGCACTTTGAATGACGATGTGTTGCTGCTAGCCATTACAAAGGTCCCTATTTCTACTGAACTGAATTAACAGACTATAGTTTGTGCAGCAGATATAGTCTAATCTCAGAGAGCACCACTATGCCTTCAATCCATGCACAGAAGCCCTCTCTCAAGTACACCACACTGGAGAGACAAAGGCTTAATTCAAATCAGCAAAGTCTAAACAAGAATGTACTAAGGGCTTATTTAATCCCTCTCCTTCTCATTTTTATTTCCAAATTTCCACCATATAGTTCGTTGTGCTGTCTCTATATGGCAGATCAAGATTAGCACTAACCTCCAAATCACCATTTGAAATCATGATTTGAAGATCTGAAGATTAGTACTAATCATAGTATGGCCAATTCAGATGTCAATATTTAGAAGAATGCCAGAAAGGGACTCTGCAGTACCTCCCAGTCCTCTAATCCAGGTTCTACTGCATTACTTTGTAGTAAGTGGATCATGGACCAGGGCATGTTAACAAGTCCTTTCCATTGGTTTGCATCTTGAGCTCCTCTCAATAGGGCCAGTGAGCTGAAGCAGGAACCTCTGCATGCAAATCCTTGCTACAGTTTGCTGACTTAGGCTGCTCATAGCAGTATACAGTGAAACATTTATGGAGTGAGGCATTTACTGGTGCAATGGAAACCATCACATCATCCAGAAGAAGAAGAGGAGGAGGAGGTGGAGGAGGATTGGATTTATACCCCACCCTTCACTACCCAAAGGAGTCTTAGAGCGGCTTACAAACTCCTTCCCCTTCCCCTCCCCACAACAGACATCTTGTGAGGTAGGTGGGGCTGAGAGAGCTCTGACAGAAACTGCTCTTTTTCAAGGACAGCTCTGACAGAACTATGGCTTGCCCAAGGTCATCCAGCAGGTGCAAGTGGAGGAGTGAGGAATCAAACCCGGTTCTCCCAGATTACAGTCCACGCACTTAACCACTACATCAAACTGGGAAGAAGAAAAAAAAGTTTCACTGCAACATGGGAATGTCAAGATAGGCCAGGCCAGCAACAACATCAGGTGCCTCAGATATTGAGAAGTCTCTTAAGCAAGCAATATAGACTAAACTAGACGTGAACAAATTCTTCAGTCTCTTTCAACACTGGCAGACTTATATATGGTTTTATATACAAACAGAGGAAATTGCACCTTATCAGTTATCTCTGTAAGTCCTATTAATAAGTCATAGAAGTCACTGCCCACAAAACATACTTAAATATAGAAAATACAGCCATATACTGCTCTTTCAGCACATCCCTGTGTAGCTCTGAGGATTCTGATCCAGTTTGCTATAATTATTAAGACAAAAGCATAGGCCATTAATCAAGTTTAAAAAAAAACACTTGAAAGAAGAATCCAAAAATCAGTACTCCTTAAACAATTTCAACTCAACTGAACACAAGCACGGAGTGTACAAATGTTAAAACCCTCTATGCTACTGTACTTAAGTCTACAGAAGAATTGCATTTATTATTTATTTATTCATTACACTAGAAATAATGCCCGTTGCGGAAATAAATACAACGGAATCTAGAAAGAGGCTTTGGGGGAGTGCTCTGGCTTTGGGCAAACAGTGTCAGTTTCCTGTGGCGACCTCAGCAGGGTTTAATGACAGAGTCCACTGTTTTCTCCAGAGGGACTGATCTCTGCTACCTGAAGAGCATTTGTATGTTTGAGTTATCTGTAGCCCTCGCCTGGAGAGTGGTAACCATTGTTACCCATTCTCCTCTCCCCTATGAGGTATGTTATGCAACTGAAAATCCCAACTGCCTTGCGGGGGGGGGGGGGTTTGAGGTGTGGAATGGACTGAAGTCCAATCAGCTTCCATATGCAAAAGACCAGGTTGTCGCAGCAGTTGTGGTGTGGGCGGGACCCGGGCTTTGCCTTCTGATTGGTGGCGATATATGCTGAGGAGCAGTGCCATCAGCCATACACTAAGGGAGTGCATTTTAGAATTAGAACTTTGGCACCCACTATTCAATTATATATAAGGAGAGATTTGTATACTGCATCCTCTCCCAAGCAGTCTTGGAGAGGTTTACAATAAAACATTCAACAATAGTATACCATGAAATACATCTAAAATAGCACCGGCTAAAAATACAATGACCATATAAATTAATAAAACATCAACAGTATAAGAATAAATTCCTAAGAAATAATCTAATCAACAATTACCAGATACAGGCTGTGGGCAGTTCCACAAAATTTAGCCAAAGGCCTGACAAAACAGAGTAGCTTTACATGCCCTGCAGGACACAAGAAGATCCCGCAGAGCACAGGCCTCATCAGGGAGCTGGTTCCAAAGGGCAGGAGCAACATCCGAGAAGGATCTGGCCCTGGTGGAAGCTAAATTGGCAATCCAGGGCCCAGGCAACTGTAAGAAGCCCTGAGATGCTGACTGGAGGGGACATGAGAGGTTTAACCAGGAGAGGTGGTCCCGCAGGTATGAAGAACCCAGACCATTAAGGACTTAAAACCAACACCTTGAAAAGGCACTGGAAACTAATTGGGAGTCAGTCCAGCTGACACAAGATAGGAATGGTATGAGCTGTCCATGGAAACCCAATCAACAGCCTGGCAGCTACATTCTGGACTAGCTTCCAAGGTATCCTCAAAGATAGCCCTATATAGAGCACATTACAGTAGCCCAATCTGGAGCTGTCACATGGACCACTGAGGCAAGGTTCAACCAGGACAAATAGGGGGCCAATCTGCATTTCTTCTAGACTGAAAAATCTCAAGAACTGTATTTGATGTGGATGTTTGCATGTATGAAGGAGAAATGTGTCAGTCCATAAGTCTTTTAAATACCTAAAACATATAATGTCATTAATCCTAGGTCTAGAATTACTGCTGATTTGAGTAAATAAGATATTAGTTTCTTGAAGGTAATTATTAGACTAATACTCCAATTACTATACCTGGAGGAAAGTAACAACCCCAAATGGTGTCTGAACTGGCTGCATTTGTGGATCTTCAGTCAGCAGCATATGCTGGATCCTGGATTCACTGTTGTCCAGTGGACTGTGCCATGATACATGATCACCACTACAAAATGTATTTTCTGTAAGGGGAAAAGGGGATTTAAGAGAAACACGTCAATGAAAAAGAATGCATAGTTTCATCACAGGTATTTTTAACAACATACTTTCAAATAGGCATTACAGGAAGGGCCTTAGAATTTGAAACATTATGAAGTGTACCTGAACAAGTACTGACGCGTTTATAAACTGATACAGCCGCAAAGACAAGACATTTACACTCTTTTATATTACTTTCACCCATACATAACCATAATGAAGATGTAAAACAAAATCAGGAAGTAAACCCTACTGGGTTTGCTTCCTGATTTTGTTTTACATCTTCATTACTGTTATGTATGGGTGAAAGTAACAGAAAAGAGTGTAAATGTTTGTCTTTGTGGCTGTATCAGTTTATAACCCTATCCAGTATTTGCCAATGTGCAGTCTCCAAGCCAGAAGGATGAACATACTCTTCTTCATACTCTTATCATAATTTATGCTTGGCTCATGCAAATAGCATGGTCCCCAAGTAACCACACCAAATGTGGAGAAATATGCAACATGAGGGAATTCATACATTGACTACTAGTGATGTTGGACACTGTCTTTAAATAACCAGTGACTGTACAGATTAATCTGAAGCTTCTCTCTCTCTCTCTCTCTCTCTCTCTCTCTCTCTCTGTGTGTATCTCTCCCTTATAATAAAGCTGTAAGACGCAAACTCACGCAAACTCACACCAACAGTGTTTGGACGGCTCGGCTGGCCGTCACCGGCTCGCCCACCTCCCATTGGCCACGCCGTCTGGATCCCACCCCAGACGCAGCGTCACGTTCCCGGGGGCTGGAGGCGACCGGCCTAAGAGCGGCGCCTGCGGAGGATGGTCCCGGGGGCTGGAGGTGACGGGCGCCTGCACCGGCCGGTGGCCTCAGACCGGCGCCGGCGGCGTCACGGCTGAGAGGAAAGCACACTGAGGGGGAGGAGCCA